TGCAGGTTCTGCCCGCTCTTCTGAGGAGCATCGTCCTCTTTCTGATCAGTGGCCTGGCACTGTCTGCTTCCGTCTTGACTTAACTCCTTTCTTGGATCAGTCAATAGATCCTCACAGAACTGGCTTTGTTTAGCACTCTTAGAAAAGTAATCACATGATATTAACCACTTAGTTTCTGAAAAAGGACTTGGTCATTTCCTAAATAACAGAGCAGCAAAGCACAGGAGTGGCTAGCTGTCTGTAGCAAAGACAGTTGTTATTTTGTGTGGAATATAATAATTAACAGGAGCAATGTTTTGATTAAAGGCATTTGCGCCTTCCTTACAAACATTTATTTGCTGGTTTTTAAAAGTTCAACTGCCAGTGCTTTTTGCTGATTTTAATAATTATAGGGAGCAGGTTTCTTTATGTAGAGAGCAGTGCTCCTATTTGCTTGATGTTTTCTGTTTGAAAAAAACAGAGACTAGTTCCGATATGGCTGTATATTTTACTTGTCTAAAAGCATGTTATATGGCAGGAGAAAGAAAAGAGTTGGGATTTTAAAAAGTTGAAATTTGGTGATGATTTTGGATCAAAAATAGAACTTTTTTTTTAGAAATTAACAAGTATCTCAGAATTGCTATCGGATTAAAAAGAAAGCCTATTTTTTCCCCTTTTAAAACATCACATATAAACTAATTGAAGAGAATCCTAATTTTTCATTATCTTAATTTTAATAATAATTAAAATGTATGAAGCACTAATGATTTCTGAAGCCTTTTTATATACTTTATATTTGATTCTGTATAAGCTAAATTGGTAGGTTATATGTTAAATTCCAAATCGATCATAGAAGCTGACGGATTACTTTTGAAGTGTAGAGAAATAAATTGTCCAATAAGGTTTATTTTCTAGAGAGTTCTGCATTGGCCTATCTTTCTACTAGTTAAGTTGGTCCTTTTTTTTTTTTTCTTTTAATAAAACTTATGCCTAGTTCTTACTCGGGGTGCTTTGGCAGCCTGGATAAAAACAGATTAGCTCACTCAGTAGTTTAGTGCCAGTATGTCTGTTTCCTTCCTCTTCCTCCTCGGTGCTCAGCCTGAGGCACCAGTTTGTGCGGCATCCCGGGTAGCAAATGGGGCCCAGTTTTCCTAGTTTAACTAGTAGTGCATACTTCTCGCTCTCCTGACCTTTGATGGTCTGTTGGATGACTTGACAAACTGTGAACTGTCTTTGAAAGCATGATTATTGTAAGATTTGACTGAGCTTGACAATATCCGTGCCTTTGCCTTGAAAGGCGTAATTAAATCACGGTACCGGACTGTACGCAGCAGCGTTCTGTGACTGGAACCGTCACCTCTGCTGGGCATCCTTGAGGTGCAGGATTGGGAGGGGGTGGGGCAAAGAGCAGCCGTTCCTGCCTGGGACGCGTACGGCCGGCTCAGAGACCGCTCCACTCTGCAGACCATGTTCTCTGCCAGCCAGTGTTCATCTCCTTTTGCTGACTTTGGATTAAATCATGATAAAAAACAACTGTCTATGTTTGTATACTCTTAAGAATTAGGTGAGGGTTCAGACTCTTGAACCCTGTCATTCTACTTCTAGGAATTATCCTAAGGAATTAGTTAGAGAGCCATATAAAGATTTATGTACGAGATCACCGCAGCATTGCTTGTAACTGCAATAACTGAAAATGGCCTACATTTCAATAGTAAGGGTATCGGCTAAATAAATTGTGGTGTATTACAACCAGAGAATAGCATTCTACCATGAAAAATCATGTTATCAAGAAAATGTGCTATAGATAATGGTAAATTGCTTACAGTGAACTGTGAAAACTCTAGAATACCTTATGTATAGTGAGTGCTGTGTTCACAATGCACAGAAAAAAGATGCTAAGGATGTAAACCTCACTTTCAACGAGTCTCTTTGGATAGTGGAGTTAGAGTCATTTTGATTCTTTTTCTTTTTACTTTTTTGTTCAAATGTTTTACAGCGAGCATATGTAAATTTTCATAATGCAGGATAAAAATTAATACTTAGAAAAGAAAGCTTATATTTTTCTCCTGAAAAGATTTTTAGAAAGCATTAAAGTTTTGGGCATGTGAGGAAGGTATTTGAAGGGAAAGACGGCCTGGAGTGAAAGAGAAAGGACGAAGACAAGCCTCAGGGAATATTGGATGAGAGGAGAAAAATCAGATGCCAGTCAGGAAGAAAATGGATACGGAGGCATTGCTTCCTAAGCCCTGACATTTTTGCAGACCTACCCAGACGCAGGACAGCCGTGGGCCCCCGTAGACTCTGTCAGATGAGGGCAGGCTGGTTCCGGGCAAGAGAAGAGGGGATGAGGGACACCGCCCTCCTGCATGGAAGGGCCCTGAGGTGCAGTTTCTCACGGTCTTGCCTCGTGATTGGAGCTGCTCACACAGCACTGCTGGTGTACTGGAGCTTATGACAGATTTCGCTGAATGAAGCCTTAACTTCCAGGGAAAAAAAACGACTCACACAAAATCCATAAAATTGGTCATGGGAATGTTCAGAGTAGGCCTAAGTATTCTTCTGAAAATAATGAGGGAACGTAGCTCTTCATGAGTTCCATGTGGCACTTTGGATCTACAGCGTTCAGTTTTTTTACTGTTTTCCAAGTCACAACTTGATGTACCATTCTTAGAGCAAATAGAAATCTCAGCATGAAATAAATATTTTTTATGCAAAAACAACCCACAGACCTATAACAAACAGCCACTATTATTATGTGGATTCCGCGGACTTGTGACCCCTGCTTGAGCTTTAAACAGGTATGAACAGTGTCCCAGTGTCTAAACCAAACCATTGTGGTACGTGTGTGTGTGTGTGTGTGTGTGTGTGTGTGTGTGTGTGTGCACGCACTTCCTCCCCGCCGAAGGTGGCAGAAAGGCCAACCTCCTTCTTATCAGCACGTTGGCTCAGTGGAGGTCCGAGCACTGGGCTTTAATTGACCTGTGCCTGTGATAGTGAGCAAGTCTTCAAGGAGCCTTTTGTTCTTTTTCCCACAATATAAAAATCTGACTACATTCTGCTGAGGACTTTTCTCCATTTCCTTTCATACAAAAAAAGGTCGATTCCTGGCATGATGCCCTGGCTGCTTAGTGAGCAGGACGAAAGAAAGTCAAGAAATTTCCATTACGCGCCTTTGGGTTTGTGTGGAGCAGTGTGTAAACTCTGACATGGTCCGCCCCACCTGCCCTCCCTCGGGCACCAGTCCTCTCCTGTTTCTGGGGGTTGCTTCAAAGAACTGAGTCATCCTACAACCTGCGTGTCCCGACTCTTCCCTAATCTCTTCCCTTTGAAATTATACTTCCCAGGTGGAGGTCAAGGCAGTGCTCAGCTGCCTCATGAAGCTGCTCAGGAGTCCAACCCTCTCGGCCAGGGATCTGCAGGCAGCAGCTGGAGAGGGCGGGGAGGGAGCTCCCAGACCGCCTGCCTGTCAGCAGCTGATCAGGCGCCTCCTCCTGAACTTCCTGCTCTGGGCTCCCGGAGGCCACGCGATTGCCCGGGAAGTCGTCACGCTCGTAAGTCTCCCCTTTTCTGGCATCCTGGTTCTCATTCTCATCCCAGGGAAAAGGTGGGTTATCACCCAAGGACCCAGCCTTTGAAGAGTGTGGGTACCAAGATGCTGTCCAAACGTGGCTGGACAGGCCGGGAGGGGACAGCTGGGCCAGACCCAGAGCCTGCCCTATGTGACACCTGCGTGGCACAGGAGAGGGAAGGGAGGCTCAGACAAGGGAGCGGACTTCTCCCAGGTCACACAGCTCACTGCCAGGGCCCACGGTGAAAGTTCATCTCCTGTCTCCCCAGGCTGTCGTCTTTCAGTTACAGTTCATGACTCTTCCTCCTCGTGAAGAGAAACAAGACTTCAGTGAGAATATGGTCACTGCAGTGGCTCAAAGAATTTCATGTGTTAATTTTAAAAAAAGTTTGCTAATTACAAAGAGCTCCTTCTGGAAGCCCAGCTGACCTGAGGGGTTCTTTATGGTCCAAGTCAAATGTGGCACCGCTTATGGCATGGGACTCAGCAATGATTACTTGAATAATGACACTCAAAGCACAGGAAACAAAAGAAAAAGTACATTGGATTTCATCAAAATAAAAACCTTTGCAAATCAAAGGACACTATCTAGAAGGTGAAAAGACAAATCTTGAAATGGGAGAAAATTTTCGAATTTATACTTGGAAATATTTGGAAATCACGTATCTGATAGGGGTTTAATGTTTAGTGTTTAGACTATAAAAGGAATTTGTACAGCTCAACAACAGTAAAACAACCCAGTTCAAAAACCGGCAGTGAATTTAGACATCTCTCCAAAGAAGATGTACAAGTGGCCAATAAGCATATGAATAAAATGTTCAACATCATTAGCTCTTAGGGAAATGCAATCAAAACCACAATGAGGTACCGCTCCATACCCACTAGGACGTATACTATAAACCAAGCCAAACAAAATGGAAAACAAGACAGAAAGTAGAATAGAGGTTATTAGGGGCTGGGGAGTGGTGCAGAGTTCCTGTTTGGGATAATGGAAAAGTTTTGGAAATGGATAGTAGTGGTGGTTGTACAGCATTGTGAATGTACTTGATGCCACTGAACTGTACATATAAAAATGGTTAAAATAGCAAATTTTATGTTATGAGCTCATCTCAAAAAAAAACAAAACAAAAAACCACAATGTGCTGGTTCTTGGAGTTAGGTTTTTTTCTGTTTTTACTTTTTATTGTCATGTAAGGTATATACAGAAAGGTATAGCTTGATGAATTTTTGTAAACCAAAAACACCTATGCAGCCAGCAACGAAATCAAGAAAGGAATGTTCCCAGTACCCAGAGACCCCCTCCCGCTCCCCTCCAGGGCAGGCTCTGTTTGTTTGAATGTGAACGTGAAGAAAGTCCCAGTGACCAGTGGGACTGCCAAGAACCTCAGTAACCAGTGCCCACAAGGTTCTCCTTGGTCCTAGGAGAACAACGTGTGTGGTGGGGTCGGCAGACCACACAGCCAGCCTGTCAGTCCGCCCTCTCGGGCTCAGACAGAAGACCTCCCGGAGCCTGGGTGTAGCCGAGAGCAGAGGAGGACTTGCTTGTCACCTGCTGGGTGCCATCTCCTCAGGGCCTGCCCCAGCACAATGATCTATCGTGTGTTTTTGTAAAATGCACATCTCACCTCCAAATCCATTTGAGGTGGGGAACTGCATAGGTGAGAGTTAAATAATGTCCTCATATCTGTAGAACTTGGTATCAACCAACTTTTTCTCTGCCCAAGTGTAAATTATAATAGTCACTTTTCGGCCACTACCTCAGCCAGGCGATCAAGCTCAGCATCCGCAGGGATGAGTCACGTTGATATGAAGTGATGAACACGGCACTTTACTTCTGCGGCCTTCCTACCCCAAACCTCTAACCCCAGTCTAACTTTGCAAAAACAGTTGACAAAAACCCCAGTTGAAGGACATTTGACAAAAATACCTGACCAGTCCTCCTTAAGACTGCCAAGGTCATCAAAACAGGAACGTCTGAGAAACTGTCACAGCCAAGAAGAGCCTAAGGAGGGATGACGACTAAATGTAATGTGGTGTCTTGGATGGAATCCTGGAACAGAAGAAAGGACACTAGGGAAAAACTGAGGAAAAGTCTGACCTAAAGATAAGGTTAATAAAACATATTAATATCGATTCATTAATTCTGACAAATGTACTATACTAATGTAAGATGTTAACAGGAAAACTGAGTGTAGGGGATATGGGATTTCTCAGTATTTTCTTTTGGGTCAAACTATAAATCTAAAACTGTTCTAAAATTGAAAGTTATTTTAAAAGTCAAAGGCAGACACTTCTGAATCATGCAGGCGCTGGTGGCATTTTTGTTGCCTGATCTCTGACTTCCTGCCCAGGCCCTGGACACCTGTGGGAGGGGCCTCAGCCCGTGGAGCCTGCTCAGACCTGGCTGCCCCTCCTCCCTGAGCCTGCACCCTCCTGCTCCTCTAGTGTCCTGTCACCCTGGGAGTGGAGAGCAGGCCAAGGAGATCACGGCCGGCCCAGCACGTAGGGTGTGAGAGAATGTAACCCAGGGACAGCTCCTCAGAGACATGTAGGTCTCTGCTTCTGTATTGCAATCACATTGCCCTCCATTCTGGGGAGACAGTCCAGGTTCACAGTGGACCCCCCTCAGGTCTCACTCACAGACTGGCTGCTGGGGCTCAGGAACTGGGTCGTGTCACCAAGCTCAGGGTTGCCGCCGATGCTGGAGCCCCGTCGCCACAGAACAGCTCACCTGCAGCCACGCATCAGCACTGCTGGTCTACATCTGAGCCTGGGGCAACCCGGCACCTTCATTCACGTTCAGAAGTCAGCTCAGCTGCAAAAGAGATTAACTAAAGGATGAAGCTCGGTGTTTTCTCTTCCCGCACCGGCTCCTTAGGAGGTGGGTGCACCTCGGAGCCCGTCACAGCTGAGAGCGCCTCCTGGGCGCTGTGCTTGCAGATGTTCAGAAACTGTTTCAACTAACAAACATACCAGCCTTCCTAACTCGAAGCTTTCCTGCAGTGGCCACACAATCGGTTGAAGGCAGCCCGGCAAGAGCAGCTACAAACAGGACAGGTGGAAGGGGTCCGCCCAGTGCAGCCCCTTGTGGGCTCCTTGGTGCCTCCCTCTGTGAGCAGCCTGGGAAGAGCCCTGGGCCGGGTCTGCTTGGCCAGGAGCAGGTGGACGGCCTTTCTCTTTCAGGGGCTTTGGCATCACCACCCTCAGGACCCTAGCCCTGGCCTGGCTTTGATGTGAACTCAGAGAGGCGGGAGCAGGGCCAGCTTCTGGGCCCGGGTCCTGGTCTCGACCCTCTTGTCTTGCCCTCAGCTCCGGAGAGCCGTGCTCGCTCTAGGCTGCGTGTCTGAGCCCTGTCTCTTTGCGGCCTTCGATCCTCCTCTGAGCTGCCCCTTGTGCCATCGGCTCACCTTCCTCCTTCCTCCTCTCCTGGCTTCACACCCCAACCTCAGCCACAGCACGCTCCCCCACTTCCTCAGGCTCCCGCACGGGCCCCAGGGCTCAGCTTCTGAGTCTCCACTGAATCCCTTCATCGGAACCCCCGCCCTTCCCACCCCTTGTTCTGCTTCTCGGCCCTGTTCCTGCTTTACCAGCTCCGCTCTCTCCTCCTTGAGCCTCGATGTTGAGGATGAGGCGCTAGCAGCCTGGCTGGTGCCCGGAT